TGATGAAGGTGGCTACACTCAACAACAGATTTTTGATGTATTAATAGGTGAAATAGCCTTCTATTGGAAGAAGATGACATCTAGCACTTTCATAGCTAGAGAGGAGAAATCAATGCTTGGCTTCAAAGGACAGATTGACTTTCTTGTTAGGGGCTAATGCAGCTGGTGACTTTAAGTTGAAGCCAATGCTCATTTACTATTCTGAAAATCCTAGGGCCCTTAGGAATTATGCTAAATCGGCTTTGCTTGTGCTGTATAAGTGGAACAACAAAATCTGGATGACAGCAATCTATTTATAGCACGGTTTAATAAATATTTTAAGCCCACAGTTGAGACCTACTGCTCCGAAGAAGAGTCCTTTTAAAATATTACTGCTCAATGATAATGCACCTGACACCCAAGAGCCCTGCTGGAGATGTACGAGAAGATTAAAGTTGTTTTCATGCCTGCTAACACAACATCCATTCTGCAGCCCACGGATCAAGGAGTCATTTCAACTTTCACATCTTATTATTTAAGAAATACATTTCATAAGGCTATAGCTGCCATAACAGTGATTCCTCTGATGGATCTGGGTAAAGTAAATTGAAAACCTTTTGAAAAAGATTCACCATTCTAGATGCCATTAAGAACATTCATGGGAGAAGGTCAAAATATTAACATTAACAGCAGTTTGGAAGAAGTTGATTCTAACCCTCATGGAACCCTTTGAGAGGTTCAAGACCTAAGTGGAGGAAGTTGCTGCAGAGGTGGTGAAAATAGAGAACCAGAATTAGAAGTGGAGCCTGACGATGTGACTGAATTGTTGCAGTCTCACAAGAAGAAGAGTTACTTCTTATGGATTAGCAAAGGAAGTAGTTTCTTGAGGTGGAATCTACTCCTGGTGAAGATGCTGTGAACATTGTTGAAATGACAACAAAGGATTTAGAATATTACATAAACTTAGTTGATAAAGCAGCAGCAGGGTTTGAGAGGATGGACTCCAATTTTGGAAGAAGCTCTACTGTAGGTAAAATGCTATCAAGCAGCATCACTTGCTACAGAGAAATCTTTCATGAAAGGAAGAATCAATTGATGTAGCAAACTTCCTTTTTGTCTTTTTTTTTTTTTTTTTTGAGAAAATGTCACACTCTATTACTCAAGCTGGAATGCAGTGGTGCGATCATAGCTCACTATAAGCTCTAACTTCTGGAGTGGAGAGATCCTCACACCTCAGCCTCTGGAATGAAGAGAAGTAGCTAGGACTATAGGCACAGGCCACTATGCTGAGCTACTTTTTTAATTTTTTTGTAGAGATGAGGTCTCGCTATGTTGCTCAGACTGGTCTCGAACTCCTGGCCTCAAGCGACCCTCCAGCCTTGGTCTCCCAAAGTGCTGGGATTATAGGCATGAGCCAATGCACCCAGCCCATATTTATTCAATTTGAAAAAATTATACAATATTATATAACAGCATAAACAATTGAGAAGCACCCACAATTCCCTACCAACAAGCCAACTTTCTCAGTGTCTTATTTCTGCTTGGTTCTTATTCAAAGGAGTAATCAAAATCAACTTGTAGTTCCAACCTGTATCTTGATTGTTTTTTTATGTATCAAGTATCTATTCCAAGTTGTAGTCTTTGAGCTATTGCTTTTAGTGACTCCATATTAGTTCATTAAATTGATGAACTATAATTTACTGCCCCTATTGCTGAACATTTGTTTTTCCAGATATTTCTGTATTTTAAATAACAATAAACATTTCAGCTTTTTCTTTATTTAATTTCTTTTCCCACGAGAAAGATTGCTCTGCCAAAGGGCAATATGGACATTGTAAAATCTCTGTAAACATCCTAAATTAGTTGAAGGTACTGTATTGATTTCATTACCCTCAAGAACATGAGTGTTTGTTTCATCATCTTCATTCCTGTATTTTTAATG